CATGGAATTTTTGGCCAATCAAACAAGCAATAACTTGAAAAATGGAAAATAATTTCCAACTTCTATGAAAAATAAACCCTATCAAACAAGACTTAATGAATCATTTTGTCCAAGTTTATAAATAACACTACATTAGTTGCACATGAATTTGACATACTATGGTGAAAGAATAAAGTTCCTTGTACAATGTTGTGTTACAATATTGAGTTACAACTTCTCACAAGGAGGTGGGACCCACTATTATTTTAATCGCGAGGCCCACCTCCCTTATGAGAAGTTGTAAGTCATGTGTTGTACATATAATATGATTGATGGTGAAACTCATAAAAAAGGTACAATGTGTGTGCATTGAACCAACAATAACTAAAAAAATTTAATTTTTTTATTTAATCCAATTTTTTAATTCTTGAATAAGAACCCAAAACCGGTCGCGAATTGAATAAAAACCAACCGATTCTCAATTTTAATTCCAAAACTCATTAGAACTTGAGTAGAACAGACTGATCTCATTCTAGTTTGATCCAAAAGTTAGATGACTTTATTTATAATGAAGAACTAGCGAAACGATAGTTGGAACAGTCGAGTATTATTCATCGTACTCGTAGGAACAAATAACAGCAAAAAATCCCAGAATTCTTGCAAATGAAAGCGAGAAAAAGAATGATGTTTCCACAAAATGATACAAACAAATAGTTTTACACAAATTAAACATACATAACATATAAATTAATAGAGAACTTTATTTAGGGAAAACAAAGTCCTGAACTACTACCTACCATCAGCACAAATCAATCGTCTTCTTTTTCAGGCCGAGCAATAGCCCATAAAGATAAAGATTAAGCAGAGAAAGATTGCCGGCTAAACTAATATTTATGACTGGGAAACAAATTGATGGTAACAAACAGCAGCTGCCAAGCCAAATTTCATCTTCTAGTCTGCTCTAGACTGACCAGCACGAGAAGAGAGGATGATGCCAACGATAAGGCCATAAAGAGCCAGTGCTTCAGCAAAAATAAGAATAAGAATCATCCCAACAAAGAGCTTTGGTTGTTGTGCATTGGCTCTGTAAAAAAGAATATGATTAGGTGAGAGGAACTAAAATGATATATTCATCTCAGAAAAAAATTCCACTCCATTCCTATTTATTAGAAGTAGACAATGGAACCATTAATTGCAGGCCAGAAAGATAACAAAAACACAACATATTTTGTGCCTGTTTGAGCCCCATTTTCCCTGAGAGTGTATTTTGGAATGGTAGATTGATGTAGAATGTGTGGTTAAAAAAAAGGGGAAACGCTTGGGTTTACGTATGATATTATTTTATTGAAAAATGTGTAGTTGAAATATGAGAGAGAAAAATGTATTTTGTAAATAATGGGAATCAAACAAAAGCTGAATTAAAATGATCATAAACTTAAATGATCCAGACAAGAGTCACGGTCAGTTTTAACAAAGAAAAAGCAGAATTAAATTCATTCGGATCCCAAAAGTTCATTTGAAGAGACATAACATTTCAAAATTATGTCTCTTCTTGTTTGACTGGCTAGAAATCTCACAATATAACTTCCAAATTAAATGATATCAATTTAAGGTTGATTTTTCCTCTTGGAATCATGTTTGAAGTCCAGGGTTCTATGCCTCAAAGTGAAATGTAGATAAGAGTGTGTTTGAGTCACATTATTTTAGAAGAATGTATTTTGAAATAGTAGATTGATGGAGAATATGTTGTTGAAAAAGAAGGAAAAGTTATTGATGTGATGGAAAATATTATCTTATTGAATAATGTATGGTTGAAAATGAGTAAGAGAATGAGAATGAAAATTCTAATGTGGCTGGGCTAAATAATATGCCTCAAAAGTGAAGGTTGTGTATTCTCTACTTCAAAGGGAGAACTAGTAAACAGAAAAAAGAACCCTTCATCCGCCAAGGAGCTAGAGAATTGCTCGCTTCTTGTTGGAGAGAGATGCATTAACTAATAAATTGGCCTCTGGTTTAAGAAAGATACTCCCTGTGGTTTTCAAATGTAAGTAACAAGCAAAAACAGATCCGGCAGTCACCTAGCAGTTCTACTTACTGTACAGATCATGGTTAC